GTTTATACAGTGCTCTCTGATTGTGCCTATGGCACCTCTGCTCTTCACTGGTTCAATCTTGCATTTTCTTCCATATCGTTCACTCCAGTACGTTGTTATTTTACTGTGTAGATTTGGGACCTGACCCTCCAGTATTTTCCATGTGTATATTATTTGGTATCTCTCTCGTCTCCTTTCTAGAGAGTACATTTGGAGAGCTTGAGACGATCCCAATAATTTAGGTGCTTTATCGCGTCTATGCGTGCCGTATATGTTCTCTGTATTCCCTCTATTTCAGCAATCTCTCCTGCTCTGAAGGGGGAAGTGAGTACTGAGCAGTACTCGAGACGGGACAGCACAAGTGACTTGAAGAGTACAACCATTGTGATGGGATCCCTGGATTTGAAAGTTCTCGTAATCCATCCGATCATTTTTCTGGCTGACGCGATATTTGCTTGGTTATGCTCCCTAAACGTTAGATCGTCGGACATCATTATTCCCAAATCCTTGACATGCTGTTTTTCTACTATGGGAAGATTCGATTGTGTTTTGTACCCTGTATTATGTTTCAGATCCTCATTTTTGCCGTACCTGAGTACCTGAAATTTATCACTGTTAAACATTATGTTATTTTCTGCTGCCCAATCAAAAACTTTGTTGACATCTGCTTGTAGTTTTTCAATGTCTTCAGCAGAGGTAATTTTCATGCTGATTTTTGTGTCATCTGCAAAGGACGACACGAAGCTGTGGCGTGTATTTTTGTCTATATCAGATATGAGAATAAGGAACAGTAGCGGTGCAAGGACTGTACCTTGAGGTACAGAGCTTTTAACATCGCTTGGACTCGATTTTATCTGATTGACTGTTACTCTTTGTGTTCTGTTCGACAGGAAATTGAGTATCCAGCGTCCTACTTTTCCAGTTATTCCCATTGACCTCATTTTGTGAGCTATCACCCCATGGTCACATTTGTCGAACGCCTTTGCAAAGTCTGTGAATACAACATCTGCATTTTGCTTTTCTTCTAGGGCTTCTGTGATTATGTCATAGTGGTTGAGTAACTGTGACAGACAGGATCTTCCCGCTCTAAATCCATGTTGTCCTGGATTGTGCAATTCATTGTTTTTGCATAAAACTAGAAATTTGATTCCTAATCACTCTTTCAAACACTTTTATTATGTGTGATGTTAGTGCAACTGGCCTATAATTTTTTGCCAAGGCTTTACTCCCCCCCTTGTGCAACGGAGCTATATCTGCAGATTTAAGTGCTGCTGGTATCTCCCCTGTATCCAGGCTCTTTCTCCATATTACGCTGAGTGCTCTCGCTACTGGTACTTTACATTTCTTTATGAATATTGAATTCCATGAGTCAGGCCCAGGAGCTGAGTGCATAGGCATATTATCAATTTCTCTTTCAAAGTCTTCCGAGTTTGTGGTAATATCCGTTATATTATCTGCAGCTTGAATGTCATTCATAAAGAAGCTGTCTGGGTCATCAACTTTCATGTTGTTTATTGGTTTATTGGTTATTATTATCCCACACAAGTAATAGAACAATTGATGGCAGAACAACACCAAGTCTGCTTAAATGTGCTCCTTTGAGGAAGGTCAGAAAGAGGACGAGGCTAGAAAGAAAATGTAGACGACACTTCAGATGGACAAAAAAATACAGAAATGCTTAATCAGACACGACAGTCCCCTGCCCCCCCATCCCCCCACCTATCCCCCCTTCAAAAAAAGCACAAGCTGAATCAGTCATACCAAACTGAAGGAATGAAGTTAGAACAGGAAACCATACAAGAGATAAAGAACAAATCCAAAATATTTCTTAACATTTGCGAAATAAGTCAAAAACCTCCTGCTGCATTTGACCTATATTTACAGGTGAAGGTTCATATTCAGAAGTTGAGAAAGGAATCAGTTAAACCATAAAATATCATTATGAGGCTATGTTTAGCTCTCCTATTAACAACATGAAAGTGGAAAATCCAGACAGTTTCTTTAACAATGGTACTCAAACCTCTGCCACTCCACATGATGTCACCATAACCGCTGCGGATTTTGATAGAGAAGTTGAAAACATGCCCATGCACTCAGCCCCAGATCCAAACTCATGGGATTCTATATAAAGCAGTGAAAAGGGCCAGTAACACGAGCACTTGGACACAAGGGAGATACCAGAATCAGATCAGTAGATACAAGGGCGGTACATCCTTTACAGCAGATACATCCCCTACACAAATGAAGGAGCAAAGCATTTGCTATAAAACTATAGGCTAGTCAAACATTACGCATAATAACAGTTTTGGAAAGAGGGGATTAAGAATCCAATCTCCAGTTTCGTGTAGAACAGTGACCTCCGCAACCCAGGTCAACATAAATTTAGAGCGGAAAGATCATGTCTTTTGCAGTTACTCGACCTCTGACAAAATCTCTGATGCAATAAAAGAAAAAATGTTGATGTGGTATACACGGATTTTGCAAAGGCATTGATAAACGGGACCATTTAGTGATAGCACATAAAATGAGATCAGTAGGAATAACGGGTAAAGTATGACGATAGATACACTATTTCTTGTCGAACAGAATGGAAAGGGTAACAGTCTATCAGAATGGAAAGGGTAACAGTCTATCAAACAATATCAAGTTCAAGCTCAGTGGAAAGCTCTGTGCCTCAGCGCACAGTCCTTGCACCACTGCTTTTTCTTATTCTCATATCAGATATAGACAACACTACGAATCATAGCTTCGTGTCATCTTTTGCAGATGACATAAAGTCAGCATGAAAAGTTCTTGTGTTGAGGACATTGAAAAACTGCAAGCTGATACATGACGTATTCTATTTAGCAGCGGAAAATAACATGATTTTAACAGTGATAAATTCCAAGTACTTAGGTGTGTAAAACATTCAGAGCTAAAACAAAATACAGTGTTCAAGGCACGGTCAAATCTGCCCATAATAAGACGACAACATATAAAGGATCTGGGAATAATTGTATCTGACGACCTAATATTTAGGGAACATAACAAGGAAAAGATAGCAAGAGCTAGAAAATGTAAAAATTGCGAGAATATTCAAATTCAGGTATTCCATCACAATGCTCATATTCAAATCACTGGTGCTGTCCCATCTTGAGTACTGCTCGACACTCGCTTTCCCCCCTTCAGAGCGGTAGAGATTGCTGAAATAGAGGGAATACAGAGAACATATACGGCCTGCATAGAGACGATAAAGCACTTAAATTATTAGGACCGTCTCAAAGCTCTAAAAATGTACTTTCTGAGAGGAGACGAGAAAGGTATCAAATAGTAGATACATGGCAAATACTGGAAGACCAGGTACTACATTTGCACAGTAAAATAACATACTGGAGCGAACGACTTGGCAGGAAATGAAGAATGGAGTCAGTAGGGGTGCCATAGCCACAATCAGAGAATACTGAACATCAGAAGTCCATGGCTGTTCAGTATCCAGCAAGCATGATCAATATTGCCGCAACAAAGGTGGATGTCTTCAAGGAAAAAAAAAACTGGACAGTTTCCTGCAAGAAGTGCCGGACCAACCCGGGTTGTAGTCGATGTGTGTGCTGCTCCAAACTTGTCTGTTGGCACAAGCTCTCTCAAGTTAGGGTCGGGCTTGGGGAAGTAGAAGAACTCCCAGAACCCCACTCAGGTGGTTCTTGGCGGAAGGGGGGGAGGGATATTTTGTTACTTCTAAGAAAGTCTATTAACTGAGACGCTATTTCTTGTTTATATCTTGTAGACAGCCTGTTATAGTGCTTGTGTTGCAGGGAGACTTGCAAGTTCTGCATATGTAGACTTACCCCTAATTAGTGTGTTAGTGTATAAGGAAGACTTTGAATTATACTCATCAGACTCGATATATTTTGGTATTGGACAATTGTAAAGAGTTGCAGGTTCTAGAGTGTAGATGTCATTATGTTATTCAAACATGTCTTTTGTGTAGATAAATCAATGTATCGTGGTTAAAAAACTATTAACCCAACACCATTCGTGTCTTTCCACTTGATAATGGTCCAGGACTGACCAATCACTTGGGGAGGATCCAGGACGGATCAATCACTTGATAATTTGCTTTGATTACTTTTGTCCCCGAGTATAACTTGTGTGTTCTCTATTTTTGAGTTGTCACATACAAAATGTTTGTGACAGCTTGCTAACAATATCAAATGATATCAATAATAGAAATTTTGATTTAGCTGTTTCACTGCTTAATATCGTTAAGCGTGATATGCTAGGTAGGTAATGTACCACCTTGAGGTACCACTATTTGGTATCATGATTTGAGATCATGTGTACCTGCCGTTAGACAGTACCACTGCTTGGTACAACGAATAGTTATAATGTGTACCTTCTATGAAACACGGTACCCAAGCTTTGTTAGAAGTATATGGCAAGACCACTTATGTTCGTAAACATTGTAATACTATCGTTAAATTTGTATGCTTACGTTTTCAAGTGTGTTTACATATAGAGAGCTTGGGGTACCTAAGGTTTTTTATGCATAAATACCTACAGATCACACTGCAGCACGAAGTTCCTTTATATATTTTCGCCAGATATATATATATATATTCATAATTTTTGTCAAATTTCTTGTAATGCGTCCACGAACTAAGAAATTTTTACCTAAATAATTTGCACGAAGTTTTATAAGTGCAAGATTATCGTGAAAAACAAATTGACTTATTTCAATCACTATAGGACCATCGTGGATTCGGGCCTCAGAAGTAGGAGACCATTGTCCTACTGATGAGACCATGGATGCTTATAATAAGGACCCGAGACGTACTAAACTGGTTTGCAAATGAGATTTCAAACCTTACCTGAAGTTTTCAAGTCTCAATGGATATGAGTGGATTTCCTCCATATACTTACTTCCATTGCTCAAGTCTATTTAAGTTCCGAGGTAGCTTTAGTGTTGTATATTGAGGTAATCCACTCGTTTACTCACGCTATTGTGGATTGCATCTTTTAAGGATTTATATGTAAGCAAGGCCTTTATATAATGGAATATTTATTTAATAATATAAACCTTAAATATAAGTTACCCCCTGAAGTCGATATAAATGTATTAACATTATGGCATGGCGATTATGCTAAATCTGGTACTATTGGTAGACAGGCTCAGGCTGGTATGAGGGCTGGGGTTGGTACGAGGGCTGGTACTGGGGCTTGAAGGTGATGGGGGGACCGTATTCGTAGGGGTACTGGGCTTCACCGTAGTAACTGACCTCAGCCCGGTAGCCACCGTAGTCGTCAGCAACGTAGGTTACCTGAAACAGTTGGGTTTAAAATAAGACACAAACCACAATGAGACGGTTCGGTTGCTTCAGGAAGACATTTCAGCGCTAAACTACAGTTTTCTGTCAACTTACCGTCTGTTTGCGGCCGTCGGGAAGTTGAACAGTATAGGAACCAGTGACAGTTTTCCCATCAGATTCCTCGGCTTGGCTGAAGTCAGTGCCGGCATATTCGTCCTTGACGCCGTATTCGAAGTTGTAGGGGATCACAACCTGTTGGGTAATTATTATATATATGAAAGTTTTGCTTTAGAAGATGCCTCGGGGTCATCCTTTTGTTACCCTGTGGTCCGGTACATACTGGTGCTCCCTCTAGCGTGTATATATACCAAGGATGCTGTAGTGTGAATTTGTTCGAAGTTGGCTCCAGAGTGAGTATTTTCCAAGATTGCTCTAGTGTGTTTAAGTTCCAAGGTTCCTCTAGTGTTGCATATGTTCCAAATTTTCTCTGGTTTTTACATTTCCACAAGTTTCTCTTGTGTATATTTTCAAAGTTTACTGTAGCCACTAGAGCATCCCTGGAACCTAAACACACTAGAGCAACTTTGAAGCATATACACACACTAGGGATAGATCCATTGGCCCATGAACCAAAAGATAACAACAACTGGACTAGAGGGTTCCAGGACTCGGTGATTAGTCCAATCGCAATATTAACAGAACACTGCTGTGGATAGTGTGAATAAACATAGTTAAAGCATTGGTGTTGGACCAGATTACACGTGTCAATACATTTGCACAGTAGAATAACAACATGAAAGGAAACGCAGAATTGAACCAGTGAGGACTACAGGTGTCACAGGCACAATTAACACTGTGTGGACATCAGAAGGCCATGGCTATTTAATGCCTTGCCAGCAAGCATAAGAAATAATGCAGAAACAAAAGTGGATTTCTTCAAGAAACAATTAGTTCCTGCAAGAAGTGCCGGACCAGCCGGGTTTTAGCGGATGTTTGGGCCGGCGGGTTGCTCCAAGCACGAACTTGTTAAACTAAGTTATCACAAGTCATGCCTGGCCCAGACTGGGCTTGGGGAGTAGAACAACTCCCAGAATCCCTCTCCAGATAAAGCACCAGGTTGAGAGGCTAAAATACACATATAATAAGCAGTCACAACAGTTTCCTAAGATGGTAAAATCACGTTCGTTTTGGGACAGTGCAATGAGATCGAACCTGCGTCCCTGGATTTCCCATCGTGCGGCCTCAGTATGTTTTCATAGATTCATCACGTTGTGATTTCACTGTGCGACTTACATTTTTAAATGGTTAACGGAAGTGCTTCTTTATTCCTAAACATAGAGACGTCCAAGATTTTGAACGAATGTCTTGGTTACCAAGTTTGGTTGATTGTATTTTGGTGTGAGTGTGAATGGTGTTGAGAAGGGCAGAGAACAGATGTCCCAAGAGCCTTCATCCTCCACAGAAAATGGGAAGCTGTGGATAATTTGACAATTAACTAGTAGTGTTTTCTCAGCTGGAGTTTGATAGTATATTATTGCGATCGATAACTAGGTTGAAAAAAGTCTCCCCGAGTGTGTCTTAAAATCTCTGTCACATGTGGAGATGCATGTTGCAAGCACTAATAGCTCCGGCGATCAGATACGATTTTGCACTGCACCGCAGTGGAGGAGTTTCAAAAGAGTTTTCCAACAACAGGAAGGGCGTTGACTGACCTGGTTGTAAGCCGGTTGTGGTCCAGGGGCACCGTAGCGGTCTTCAGGGGCAGCGAGACCCATACCCACCACCACCACCATAACCAGGGCCACCTGTGGGGGGAGAAACAGTTGGGTAGTTGCCCCCGGGACATTCTGCTACAATATATATATACAGTATTAAGAAAGGTTATGGTTAGCTAAAGTTCATCGGTTCGTTTTCAGTTCACTTTATGCAAAATAGAAATTCGTATAGAAACGTTATTGAACGTTATTATATTGTAACTTTTTTTCATTTAATAACGTTATTATATTGTAACTATTGTAACTTTGTGTGTGTGTGTGTGTGTGTGTTCGGGTGTGGTGAGTTTCCTTATATTATTTTTAGTCGCAACCCGTACTGACGGTATTTTCAGTACACGCACGCACACAATATCTCTCACACACACACACACACACACACACACACACACACACACACACACACACACACACACGGGGGGGGGGCTGATAGCTGAGTGGACAGCGCTCTGTACTCGTAATTCTAGGGATCCGGATTCGATCCCCGGTGATGGCGCCTAACAGCTAAGTGGACAGCGCTTCGGATTCATTGTCCTGAGGTTCCGGGTTCGATCCCAGGTGGAGGCGGAGACAAATGGGCAAAACATTTTTTCACCCTGATGCCCCTATTACTTAGCAGTAAATAGGTACAGCAGTAAATAGGTACCTGGGAGTTAGACAGCTGCTACGGGCTGCTTCCTGGGGGTGTGTAACAAAAAGGAGGCCTGGTCTAGGACTGGGCCGCGAGGACGCTAAGCCCCGAAATCGTCTAAAGATAACCTTCCCTCAAGATAACCTCAAGATGGCAGAGACAAAATGGGCAGAGTTTCTTTCACTCTGATACCCCTGTTATCTAGCAGTAAATAGGCACCTGAGAGTTAGACACCTGTTACGAGCTGCTTCCTGTGTGTGTGTGTGTGTGTGTGTGTGTGTGTGTGTGTGTGTGTGTGTGTGTGTGTGTGTGTGGCCGAAAGAGCAGAGCTTAACCCCCGCAAGCACAACTAAGTGAATACTCAGGTGAAACGCATTAGGCAGTGATGTGGTGGAGGCTGACTCCATACAGTTTCAAATATAGATGTGATAGAGCCCAATAGGCTCAGGAATCTGTATACCAGTTGAGAGGCGGGACCAAAGAGCCAAAGCTCAACCCCCGCAAGCACAACTAGGTGAGGACACACACACACACACACACACACACACACACACACACACACACACACACACACACACACACACACACACACAGGAACCTGTACACCTGTTCAGGAACCTGTACGCCTGTTCAGGAACCTGTACGCCTGTTGATTGACGGTTGAGAGGCGGGATCAAAGAGGCAGAGCTTAACTCCCTCAAGCACAATTAGGGAGTACACACACACACACACACACACACACACACACACACACACACACACACACACACACACACACACACACACACACACAAAATCTTCGACAAGAATTAAATCTTCCCAACCATTCGAGTAGAACATGCTGAAACCATTTTCAGAGGTCATACCCTGCATATTCCAATATTCATGGAGTAACAACTGTACACAAACACACACACACGTAAGTTTTCTAGTTAATATCCCAAAGTTTCTAGATAATATCACCAAGTTATCGCGTCAAGCCTGGCCCTAGGCCGGGCGAGTAGCAACTTGGGGGAGTAGAACTTTGAGAACTTGTATACTCCACGTATCAGCGATAGAGCAAGTTTGTTAGTCACCTTGGGGATCATAGCGAGCGTTGTGTGACCTGGTGAAGGAATGGCGGTGGAGAGGGATGTGTTGTGGTGTGTGTGTGTGGGGGCCTTATATATATATACGTGGGTGGTGGCGACCTTTCCACAGGCGCCAGCTTGAGGTAAACGTCCCCTGAGGCGGTGTTGGTGGAAGCCTCTACCTCTCACTGGGGTCGAGGGACCCACAGTAATGATGACACTTACGCAATACTATGAAGCACTCCAGATTTTCGTTTCACTTTTATTTATTCTTTTTATGTGCAGTTGTGTGATTATGTACATATATGTATTACCTATATATACAGTAGCCAGAACGCACTTCTCAGTCTGCTATGCAAGGTCCGATTCGCCTAATAAGCCAAGTTTTCCTGAATTTATTTATTTTTCTATTTTTTTTTTAGTATGAAATGATAAAGCTATCCATTTCATTATGTTTGAGTTAATTTTTTTTTATTTAAAACTAACATAGGGTAGGTTAGGTGCGGTCTGTTAGTTTCAACTCAAATTAAAAAAAAATTAACTCATAACGAAATGGATAGTTTTATCACTTCATACGAAAAAAATTAAAAAAACATATAAATTCAGGAAAACTTGACTTATTAGGCAAGTCGGGCCTTGCATAGTTGGTCGAGAAGTGCGTTCTGGCTACAAAGTACGATATATAATATGCGAACAAGCTTGAATGGTCCCCAAGCCAATATGCAACTGCAAACTCCACACCCCAGAAGGATTCGAACCCAGATAGCCAGGAGCGCTATGCACCTTGGTGTACGGGGTACCTTAACCACTAGACCATTCGACTGTACAAAAATCTTGGTAGCCGTGAGACAATTTATATCCAAGATCCGACAGCGCTCGGTGGTCAACTCGAGCATAGATATTTTATCGAATCACCTCACTTTGTGGGGCCACGTGAGCAACACAAATGCGAACAAGCTTGAATATGGCGGTGGATATATATATATATATATATATATATATATATATATATATATATATATATATATATATATATATATATATATGACAAAAAAATGTCATTTTCTGACAAATTTGTCAGAAAATGCTCACCAAATTGATTGGGAAATGGATTCTTCAATAACGAGTTGTAAAATCACTTATAAACAGGAACATAATTGAATCTGCTTTAATACAGATTACAACAGAATGTAATTTGAACATTAGCAGTGGTTTATATAACTTAGATCCATTTTTGATAGATCAATTAAAGGGCGATTTGAGTAGGATCATTGATACACATTGTCTCACTAATTCATTGTAAATATTTACTATCTTAGGCTATTATTATCCATGTGTCTATTGGTAGGTATAAATAGGAGCTGCCTCGTATGGGCCAATAGGTCTTCTGCAATTCTTATGCGGCTCTTATTTGTATCCACCCAATTCCCATTCATTTTTCATTGAATGGGAATTCAATTCCTCACCTCACTTCATCTCTCTCTCCTGTCTATATATATGTCTAATACTTGACTTGTAAATCATTCCTTCTGAAGATGTATTAATATACGAAAGTACTTAAGGAAATTCCTGTTTCAATTCGTCCTCCATGGTCTGACACAAGTCACATTTTTCATCACGTGTTAGTTTTAGTGATTTACACACACACACACACACACACACACACACACACACACACACACACACACACACACACACACACACACACAGGGGCCTCGTAGCCTGGTGGATAGCGCGCAGGATTCGTAATTCTGTGGCGCGGGTTCGATTCCCGCACGAGGCAGAAACAGATGGGTAAAGTTTCTTTCACCCTGAATGCCCCTGTTACCTAGCAGTAAATAGGTACCTGGGAGTTAGTCAGCTGTCACGGGCTGCTTCCTGGGGTGTGTGTGTGTGTGGTGTGGAAAAAAAAAAAGTAGTAGTTAGTAAACAGTTGATTGACAGTTGAGAGGCGGGCCGAAAGAGCAAAGCTCAACCCCCGCAAACACAACTAGGTGAATACACACGCACAATAGAAAAAGAATATTGAGAGAAGACCTTGTGGATTCTCACTGAACACTTTAATATTTTCTTCTCCTACCATCCCTATTCCTTTTTTTTATTAATTTTATTACATTGTGTTACAGTTTACAGAAAACACACACACACACACACACACATATTAACGCTATGTGAATTAATATTTATGTTTTGTGGCTGCCAGGATTGGCTAATGTAAACTTTCCTTGCACTTGGACTCGAGGCCTCAAGAGTGTTTGGTTTGTTGCTCACTATTAACGTGAAAGAAATTTTGGCGTCTAAAGTGGCCTCTGACAGCCCGAGATAGTACCTTGAGTGGTTTCCGGAATCGATGTCACCGCGGCCCGGTCTCTGACCAGGCCTCCTGGATGATGGTCTGGTTAACCAGGCTGTTAGACGCCGCTGCTCGTAGTCTGACGGACGAATCACAGGTGTCCTTTGGCGGTGGCATAATAGGCGCCGAGTCGGTGAGCTGTTACGGGCTAGACAATGTATTTAGCGGGTGTGCTGAACACAAATATTACTCGTCTCGCATGAGTTAATGAGCCTTCTATAAGGATCAATAAGCTTGCTCTTATTCCCATCCTCTCACCTAATACGTCGCATTTTGTTACGGAATCGACCAATCTGTTAAAAAATACGGCACATTACTAAAAATATAAACACCGTAATATTGACGGTTTGTATGCATCGGGCTCTGTAGGTTGAGTGGGTTGCTTGGGTTCGTACATTTTTGGTTGGACAAAATGTGTATTTTTTAAGGAGTGGGAAATAGAACTTTTTTTCCTTGTCTTTGAATGTTCGTGGAAAAGCTTGGACTTGAGTAAGCTTCAAGTACCGGATCAAGCTGTTGATAACAGTTTAAACTGGGTAGTAAGCTGACGTTATCAAGTGTAATTTAATCAAAACCTAATACATGAAGCTTTAATATGTCTTCACAGCTGTTAAATTTTGGTCATTCATAACGCCAGTAACATCAAGTTGTGGCAGCAGCAAGCTTTAGGTGAGGATGGCGACTTGAAGTCTTGTGGATTTTTCGTTTATTTTGTATTATTCTCTTTCACAGATGTGGCTATTCATTTTTGCGTACAGAGCTAGCAGTCCAACCCGTTCTCGCAAATTTAATAAGTCAATATTGACTTATTAAATATGTGCATAGGTGACATACTTAACATAATAGATACCCTTAAAAAGATTCATAGAAAACACCGACCTTACCTAATCTTGTTAGTATCTTAAGATAAGCATCTTATTGCTTCGTAATTACAATTATTACCTAACCTATAATAGGTATAGGTTAAGTAATAATTGTAATTACGAAGCAATAAGATGCTTATCTTAAGATACTAACAAGGTTAGGTAAGGTCGGTGTTTTCTATGAATCTTTTTAAGGGTATCTATTATGTTTAGTATATCACCTATGCACGTAGTTAATAAGTCAATACTGACTTTACGAATTTGCGAGAACGGGTTGCAGTCATATATTTGTTATCTTCTGTTGACAGTGTTAGAGATATGTTGGACATATCCTCTCTCTAACATGTCTACAATCACTATACAGTATGATATTTCACCACAAAGGTGATTGTTGTGCTTTTACTAAGCTATAACTAGCCCACTCACATTCTCACCTGTCCTCCATGGACAGGGTTAGAGATTTGCTTCAGTTCTTTGTGGAGTGATGAGGCAGCGTTGATTGAGAATTATATGTCACGGTGAAGGTCGACCTTGACAGACATAAGTGAAGGGTCAGCACTGAGTGGAGGAAGTATTATGGGAAAATTGTAGAGAGAAATCCACTTATTTGTGTGAGCTAACGATGAACCTGCAACTGTTCATCCGTTGTTTAGGTCACTGGAGCGTCTGAATGGCTGAGAAAGTTGTCTTCATGGTCTCCTTATCACAGGAACGTCATGTGCTTGCAAGAGGGAAATAAGTAGATAAGAATATAGTGAATTGTAGAAGTACTAATGGCCCAAACTCGCTCATATACCTTGTTTATATTCTATTTTTACAATTAGTCGTCTATGAATAAACCTGAAAACGGCTTAACACATAGGAACCTTTTGTACATTGAACGCTTTAATACATAGGAAGCGTGTTTAATGCGCCCATCTTACAGCTCCACAACTTGCAAATGTAAGAGATGGATTTGAGCGACATTAGGTAAATGTAATGACTCAGTTACAAGAGTTGTGGGTGATATTATGAAAATACTTGACATTCCTTGAGTGATACCATCTAAACTATGAGTTTTCAATATTACCCAAGAAGTTTGGTAAATATATTTTTATTATTTTTAGCGTGAGAAGGAAACTACGTAAGTCCTATTGGCTCATACGAGGCAGTTCCTATTTATAGCCACCCAAACACATTAATATATATATCTAACCTATGCTTGAAACAATCCAACGCCTATTGTTACAAGGTAACTTGTTCAATAACTCAACATCCCCTATTTCCAACCTAATGCTTACCCATACTCGTGTATATTGGCATTAGCTGCGCTTTCCTGAGCTGTACATAGGTATTAAGTTTGTTAACCAGCACTAGGAAATTTGGGATAGATAATTTCAGCAAACTAAAAAGCACGAGATTGCTAATTGCAAGGCTCCAGTTATCTCAACTGGTGGTTTAGAGGGGTCAAGTAATACCAGGTGGTTTAGAGGGGCTTACGTATAACATACATGTATTCATGTATCTTACACGTAAAATTGAACTAAATACAGTATATTCAACCTTTTTTTTTTTTTTACTATTATGCATTAAATGAAATTCAACATTGTTAAAATTGTTTCTCACCCTGAGTGTTCAGTCGAGTTGATTTAAGACCTAAAATAATACAAACGAATAACTTTTATGAATGGTGTGAGAAATGAAAACACTTGCGGATGCTGGGGGTAATAAGTTATTATTTCTAGCAGATTATGTTTAGAAAACGTAAACGGAGTTTACAACATTTCATTGTTATTGCTGTCCCGTTTAGTTTACCAGTGTTCTTGTCGTTGACTTAGTTTTCTTTGGTAGGATAACTGGGGCCGGTATGAGGGTTAGGGGTATGAGGGCTGAGGGTATGAGGGCTGGGGCTTGTATGAAGGTTTAGGGTAGTATGAGGGCTGAGGCTTGTATGAAGGCTGGGGCTTGTATGAGGGTTGGGGCTTGTATGAGGATTGGGGCTTGTATGAGGGCTGGGGCTTGTATGAGGGTTGGGGCTGGTATGAGGGCTGGGGCTGGTATGAGGGCTGGGGCTGGTATGAAGGTTGTGGATAGTATGAGGGCTGGTACTGGGGCTTGAAGGTGATTGCTGGACCGTACTCTTGGGGGTACTGGGCCTCGCCCTCATACCTGACCTCCGCCTGATATCCATCATCGTCATTAACAACGTAATTCACCTGTTAGATAATTATAATAAATATTAGTTCAACTGAAATAGTGACAAAATATATTTTGCATAATATAATACAGTTAAGGAGTAACAAAGGACTATTTAACAAGTTGAAGACATGTAAGTTTAGGTCCCTTGGTTTTGGTAATTTGGTCTTTAAAAGATGTTTATAGTGATCTTACGATCTGTTTGCGGCCGTCTGGGAGCTGGACGGTGTAGGAGCCTGAGACAGTGTCTCCGTCAGACTGTTCGGTTTGGCCAAAGTCATTGCCGGAGTAGTCGTCCTTGACGCCGTACTGGAAGTTGTATGGCATGCCCTCCTGAAGTGTATCATGGCACAATAGTGTAAGAATGTTGTGAAAGAGCTTATGATCTTATACTATGATTGACATGAAGCTCGATTATCTTCTGCTTATAATATGATTCTTGTCATTGTAAAATACATAATTGAACTTTTTTTTTATAAAATACTGAATTAAACCTCATTCCAATTTGCTATAAACATTTGTAAATGTTGAGGTACCTGTTCGTCGCTTGACTGATAGGCTGGGGGGGCGTAACGATCATAGTCCTGCGCGACAGCCGCCACAACCACCACCAGAAGGACGCTAAACTGAGGAGATTAAAACTGGCTTTTAGTGCGAATGATCAATGATTATACACTCCTGTACCTGTAGACGCTTTCGATCATTCCAATATAACATAGACACACGTAACATAGTAAATATAATTTTATACGCCACATTAAAAATGAGAATTAATACTTACCTTTTTATTATTATTATTAACACTAATATTAGAAATATTAACACGTCTCTTTCAAAGCGGGAGAGATCTCGAATAAGAGGGAATACAGAGAACATATACGGCACGCATAGACATAATAAAACTTCTAAATTACTTGGACCGTTTCAAAGCTCTCAAAATGTACTCTCTGGAAAGGAGACGAGAACGGTATCGAGTAATATACACATGGAAGATACTGAAGGCCAGGTCCCAAATTTGCACTGTAGAATAACAACGTACTGCAGTGAAACATACGGAAGAAAATACGGATTAGAACCAGTGAGGAGTACAGGTGCCAAAGGCACAATCAAAGAACACTGAACATCAGACGTCCACGGCCGTTCAACACACTCCCAGCAAGCATTAGAAATATTACCGGAACAAAGGTGGAAGTCTTCAAGAGGCACTTATAAAAGTTCTTGAAAGAAGTGCCGGATCAACCGGGCTATAGTGGATATGCGGGCCTGCGGGCCGCTCTAAGCAACAGCCTGCTTGGAGCGGCTGTTGCGTATCACAAATCGAGCCTGGCCTCAGGCCGGGCTCGGCGAGTAAAATAACTCTCAGAACTCCATCAAGGTACTTGGATTTCTGTAAAACAATTTTCTATAAATTATTATTAACATCTTTATTGACAAAATTTTCAATAATGTTGACCAGACCACACACTAGAATGTGAAGGGACGACGACGTTTCGGTCCGTCCTGACCATTCTCAAGTCGATTGTGCTTTTCAGTACTGAAAAGCTTTTCAATACTGTTTCAACCCGTCCTTTCAGCTAATAGGTCGTTTTCTTTACGTGAGCATAACCAACGATACAAATGCAACCTATTAAGAAAAGCAGTTTCTCACAAATATGCACGTTCTCTATGTATCTGATTTGATGGGTTAGATGGGTAGCTTTGGTGTATCTGGTTAGGATAAAAAAAAAGTTGGATTTTTTAAGGAGAAGCAAATCACGAGAACGGCCTGAATGCTTTCATAGTTATTGCACCCTGCGTCTCATTGACGTGTTTCAGTTAGGCCTACTAAATGTGTACAGGTGAGGATTCATTTCTATGGCAATATTTGCTGTGTATGTATTATTGCGGATTTGTTCAAGATTTGTTCATTTTAACTTCAATATTGTATGTAGTTTTAAGCAGACTAGATGTTTAAGATACGATTTGTTCATAGGATTATTTTACGTTAGATGGTTGGCTAGGTTAGGCAAGCTTACTATGCATAATATTACACAATCGTTATTATGTACAAAATTATTCTTGTCGAGGCTACTGGAAATTCGCCAATACAACATTATTTGATGAATTCACAATTTTCAAAATATATTTTGTTTGGTAGTTAATATCTGCGCATCAGAAAATGTGGCCGTGCTCTCCAACATATAGACAGACGTAGTTTGCAGCAGAATGAAGTCACATAATAACGTTATTAACCTCCAATCCGTGACGTGTGTGTTAGGCTAATAACTAAAATACATATTTTACGCTACCTTAGTGATCATGTTGGCTGTTGTAGAGGCGGAGGAGTGAGTGATGTGGAGAGGATGCTGGTAAAGCTTTATATAGTGATAGTGAAGGTCGACCTTGAAGGAGGTAAGCAGGGGGTCATCACTGCGGGAGGAGGACCACATGGGGTCTCGAAGGTCGACCTTGAGGAAGGTAAGTGGAGGCTGGACACCGCAGAGCCACCTCTACGGGGTGCCTAGACCTGTGGAGGCTGGACACCGCAGAGCCTCCTCTACGGGGTGCCTAGACCTGTGGAGGCAATCACCGGTGCCACACCTCAACGTAGCTGCTAATTTGCGTGATGTTGGTGCGTTTATTTTCGTATTTGATTGGTGAAGAAATCTCCCTCGAGACAAATATCTCGGTCAAAAACACAAGAACTTCTGACGTAACCAGATGCCATTTACTGGTTAGCATTTAACCTCATTTTTATTCGCTTGTACCTTGACATGTTCATGGTATATTAAATACTTTAACCGGTTAGCCAGAAACGAACATAACCGGTTAGGAGAGATAGGAAAACAATCACAACCCACTTCCCTCTTCACCCTAACAACAATCTTACGCAACATTTTGTTTAAGAATGAAAAGTGAATTATGAGGATTTCGAATTAAAATGTTTTTATTCGGGATATGCATAAATCAGGAAACTATGAGCACATTGTATTAGCAGGTATACTGTATTAGCAGGTACACTGTATTAGCAGGTACACTGTATTAGCAGGTACACGGTATTAGCAGGTACACTGTATTAGCAGGTACACTACTATCAGGTACACGGGATTAGCAGGTACACTGTATTAGCAGGTACACTGTATTAGCAGGTACACGGTATTAGCAGGTACACTGTATTAGCAGGTACACTACTATCAGGTACACGGGATTAGCAGGTACACTGTATTAGCAGGTACACTACTATCAGGTACACTGGATTAGCAGGTACACTGGATTAGCAGGTACACTGTATTAGCAGGTACACGGTATTAGCAGGTACACTGTATTAGCAGGTACACTACTATCAGGTACACGGGATTAGCAGGTACACTGTATTAGCAGGTACACTACTATCAGGTACACTGGATTAGCAGGTACACTGGATTAGCAGGTACACTGTATTAGCAGGTACACTGTATTAGCAGGTACACTGGATTAGCAGGTACACTGTATTAGCAGGTACACTGGATTAACAGGTACACTGGATTAACAGGTACACTGGATTAGCAGGTACACTGGATTAGCAGGTACACTGTATTAGCAGGTACACTGTATTAGCAGGTACACTGTATTAGCAGGTACACTGTATTAGCAGGTACACTGTATTAGCAGGTACACTGGATTAGCAGGTACACTGTATTAGCAGGTACACTGGATTAGCAGGTACACTGCATTAGCAGGTACACTGTATTAGCAGGTACACTGGATTAGCAGGTACACTGTATTAGCAGGTACACTGTATTAGCAGGTACACTGTATTAGCAGGTACACTGTATTAGCAGGTACACTGGATTAGCAGGTACACTGGATTAGCAGGTACACTGGATTAGCAGGTACACTGGATTAGCAGGTACACTGGATTAGCAGGTACACTGTATTAGCAGGTACACTGTATTAGCAGGTACACTGGATTAGCAGGTACACTGGATTAGCAGGTACACTGTATTAGCAGGTACACTGGATTAGCAGGTACACTGGATTAGCAGGTACACTGTATTAGCAGGTACACTGGATTAGCAGGTACACTGGATTAGCAGGTACAATGTATTAGCAGGTACACTGGATTAGCAGGTACACTGGATTAGCAGGTACACTGGATTAGCAGGTACACTGGATTAGCAGGTACACTGGATTAGCAGGTACACTGTATTAGCAGGTACACTGTATTAGCAGGTACACTATTAGCAGGTACAATGTATTAGCAGGTACACTGTATTAGCAGGTACAATGTATTAGCAGGTACACTGGATTAGCAGGTACACTGGATTAGCAGGTACACTGGATTAGCAGGTACACTGGATTAGCAGGTACACTGGATTAGCAGGTACACTGTATTAGCAGGTACACTGTATTAGCAGGTACACTGGATTAGCAGGTACACTGGATTAGCAGGTACACTGTATTAGCAGGTACACTGGATTAGCAGGTACACTGGATTAGCAGGTACACTGTATTAGCAGGTACACTGGATTAGCAGGTACACTGGATTAGCAGGTACAATGTATTAGCAGGTACACTGGATTAGCAGGTACACTGGATTAGCAGGTACACTGGATTAGCAGGTACACTGGATTAGCAGGTACACTGGATTAGCAGGTACACTGTATTAGCAGGTACACTGTATTAGCAGGTACACTGGATTAGCAGGTACAATGTATTAGCAGGTACAATGTATTAGCAGGTACAATGTATTAGCAGGTACACTGGATTAGCAGGTACACTGGATTAGCAGGTACACTGTATTAGCAGGTACAATGTATTAGCAGGTACACTGTATTAGCAGGTACACTGTATTAGCAGGTACAATGTATTAGCAGGTACACTGTATTAGCAGGTACACTGTATTAGCAGGTACATTCTATAATAGCAACTGAGCGGATGATCAGGTACTCTTTGGAAATATTAATCATGTTTTCCCCTCAGCACAAACAGAGGAATGTTGGTCATTCTTCTTATATTTAGAGGGTGTTGAAAAGCCTCAATCCCATAATTGTTATAGAATTAGTGTACTTATAATTCCCGTCGTCTGGGACAGGAAGTCTGTATATATGATTATGCTGTTTGACGCGGCTGCTCGCAGCCTGACGTATGAGTCACAGTCTGGTTGATCAGGTATCCTTTGGAGGTGTTTGTCAAGTTCCCTCTTGAACACTGTGAGGGGCCGGCCAGTTATGCCCCTTATGTGTAGCAGAAGCGTGTTGAACAGTCTCTGGGCTCTGCTGTTATCTTGAGATGATTTCGGGGCTTTTTAGTGTCCCCGCGGCCTGGTCCTCGACCAGGCCTCCACCCCCAGGAAGCAGCCCGTGACAGCTGACTAACACCCAGGTACCTATTTTACTGCTAGGTAACAGGGGCATAGGGTGAAGGAAACTCTGCCCATTGTTTCTCGCCTGGGATCGAACCCAGGACCACAGGATCACAAGTCCAGCGTGCTGTTCGCTCGGCCGACCGGCTCCCAATGTTGATAGAGTTCTCTCTCAGAGTAGGTCACTTAACCTGGTCACTTTGTCATGCAGTCATTTTCCTTTTTATATGGTTATGTAGGAGTTTCAGTTGTCACTTTGCTTTGGAGGCAATGTAATTGCCATAGTTTCTTCCAATCATCTTATGTTTATGTAGCCATTCCTGGCCCTTGAATTGTTGCCGCCGGAGGCGGCTAGTTTATTGTGCACCCCATACTCATCCTGTGAGCGGTAGCGCAAAAAGCATTACAGAGGGCACAAAAGGTCTTTATGAGACATCAACTTAGATTATTACATAAACAATTTCACCTATCCTTCACACCTTATAATTATAATATCAGCTAGTAACAGAGAATGTTCTACTTCAAGAGCTATATATTAACAGTAAGTCGTTATACAAACATGATAGGTCTTATCGCTAATACATATATGCAATGGAGATATTGCAGTCATAGGGGAGCTGCTGTTTAATATTAGTCTTCACAATACACTACTTGTTTCTTAATTTCATATGTCGTTTACTTATTGGAAGCGAAATTTGGATACAGTGCAAGGATTTCAAGTATTTTGTCCTTAGTAATAAGATAGGTTGCCATATCATACAGCGTAAACTTAGATTTATCTCTAAATGGCTCAATTTTATTACAATCCAAGATATAGTGTTCGAGACAGAATGTGTCCCTGTCTGTGTCCACACACTTTACACTTAACTTCATCTAGATCCCTATACAGGCCGAACTGTCAGAGATTCTTGTAACCAAGTCTTATTCGAGCTGTGACAACGTCTGTTAGTCTGCTGACATTGTTACTTGCCCCATACACAAGTTTACTTCACACATTTCATTATGATAAACAATGGATTTGCTAGTTCAAGTTTGCACTGTTCTACTTTCTTCAAATTCTTCCAGGAGTTCTCGTCTAATGACACTTTTAAGGGACCAATTTGGTAACTCAACATTACGTTCAATACTGTCTTTATTTACTGCAACCTTAGCAAGGGCGTCAACTTTATCATGTTCCTACAGGCCAATGTGAGAAGGAATCCACAACATTTTTATATTTACCCTCTTGCTAAGTATGCTTATATATCTCTGTCTGGCTTCTGAGACAAGCACGTCATTACTTGATTGCAAAATGTTTATTGCTAGTAGTAAGGAAAGGGAGTCGGAAATAATTAAGCTGTCTACTTCAGTGTTGTCAATAATTTCGAGTGCTACCAGTATTGCTACCAACTCAACTTGCATTGTGGATACCCAGTTATTAATTCTTATATTCCTTTAAATTGTGCTACCATCGGGCTGATGAGCAATAACAGCACTTCCTGCCCTCTCTGTAGTTGTATTGAGCCCTGTTGCGTCTAATCCAGGTTTAGATGCATCTAATCTGTCCTTTGCTTTCTGTATTTCTTCCACTCTCAACTGCTTTTTTGTGTGTGCGCGTGCTTGCCTATTTATGCCTGCAGGGTCGAGCTTAAGTTCTTGGTCCCCCCCCCTTTTTCTAGCCGATGGTTGCTAATGCAATGACTGATCTATCAACCTATCATACCTGCTTTTAAAACTATGAATGGAGTTTGCCCCCTACAACCTGCTCCTTTAGGTCATTCCATTTGCTCACTACCCTTACGCTAAAGAAAAACTTTCTAGCATCTCTATGACACATCTGATTCTCGAGCTTCCGTCCATGCCTCCTCCTCCTAAACAATTCCTCTATTTCCACCCTGTCAATCCCTCTAAGTATTTTATGTTTGTATCATGTCTCCCCTCTCCCTCCTCCTCCTTTCTAACGTCATCAGGTTTAGTTCCTTCAGTCGCCCTTCGTACCTCATCCCTCGCAGCTCTGGGACGAGTCTCGTTGCAAACTTCTGCACCTTATCGAGCTTCCTTAGATGGG